TAAAATGGCAATATAGGCAATTGTATCATTTTTCGTTTCATATCAGGTTCATATTTACGAAAAATTGATCGTTCTTAACTAATATTGAGATAAAGTGGGATAATCCCCGTTTTTTCATGTGCTCTTATTTCGTGCATGCGCTTACTTATATCACCAAATTTCGTGGTGCTCTCACGGCTAAATGGTTAATTGGAGAAAAAATATCTTAATGATATTAAATGTAGATAATTAAATCTTCTTTCATTTCATAAAGAACCATTTAGATAATGGATGGCTTTTGTGTTATTTTGAAAAAAAAAGAAAGATAAAATACGTGATTTTTACTAATTTTTTTGTTAAAAAAGTATTTCCGGGCAAACTTCTTGTTGGCAACCCTGATATACGTGTTCAGCAACTCCAAAAAATAGAACTCAAATATAAAAACTACAGCAAAAATTTCCGCAAGTTGCCCTTTTCCAGCACCGTTTGACTGAACTATTACATGCAAAATTGGATTGCTCTTGCTACGTACGAAAATCACTACTATACTTACTACTTTGTGGAACGGTTGAAAAATCATCTGAACACTTACCTGAAAGAAAGGAAAATAACGAATTATATCGATAGGGCATATTATTACATATAAAATCAAATTTGTATTTATTATTGTAAACATGCATTGGATGTAAAAATTATTTAATTACATTTTACTATGTGAAATACGAAATAGTGCCAGCAAGTGTATTAGTGTATAAATAATGTTGAAAAATAAACTGGTGTTACGAAATTTTCTTCATAATTTCTTTGTTAGGTTAGAAGTTTTTTGACCAACCCACGTAGTTATTATGAAAATTATAATTAAACTGTTGAAGACTGAGTATACAGTAATTAAAAGTGTAAATTAGCATTTTCCTGTTTAATTTTAAAGGAACGAATAGGCATTTAACAAGTATGTCAGATTCTGAGACAATGATCCCCATTTCAATCAGGGTTTCGTGTCCACTTTAACTTGACTCACTGAGCAAACTCTGAGATGGCTGCTCGTTTGGCGTCTGGACATAAATGTAGCCTCACTAGGCGCAATAACTTAAACATATTAAATATTCTGGAGCTCAAGAAAACATGCATACACTCTACCTCATCCCCACACGTCAAATGCAGTTTTTAGAGTTTTTAACGATAAACAAATCGAATAAAATAAGTAATATGTATTGCAGAAAAATATTGTATAATCACACATTTGATGTTCTAAGACGTTTCGGAATGTTTAGCGTTCATCACGATTGTTTCATGAATAATATAGCCACATGACCTCTCTCAAAAAATAGAGCATCTAGCGGAGTACGTGAAAACTTTAAGTGCAAGGCAGTTGACCATCGATATATCGACCGCCACAGCACGTGATCTAGGCGAGAGCTCTACCAGACCTGTCGTATTTAAGCCACGAGAGCTTGGCAGTGTGGCTTTCACACTCACAAAAAAACGTGATGTCAGAACCGAAACATGACGCAAATATACACAAACAGGATTTTTTTATTGTGGATAAGCTTTCGCAACATGACTCACTAAGAACGTAGAAACTGTTATGGGAATCACGGCCAATCTTATATTCTACTAAAAGTGGACGTACTTGTATTAATAAGTTTCAAAGCGCGCAGAAATTGAAAGAAAACATTTCTAGCCTCCGAGCCTGCGAGGTGTGTCTATGTTGCATAGTATCCAGAGGTTACATCATGAAACAGCAACTTTTTTAATATTCTTGGTAGATGTGAAGATTGTATATTACGCTGTACAGTAATGCACCACTTTATTGCAATGTTCTCAAAAAATATTTACATTACTGCGCTATTATTCGAGAGTATTTCAATTGTTGTTTTTGAGCAGAATGCGCATTACATTTTGGGAAACTGTTGTTTTTTCCTTCAGAAATATTTTTGCTGTTTTGGGTCATGGGTCCACAATATCATTCGAATAACCTGGCGATTTGGATTGTTGTTATTGCCAGGGCCGAAGCAATAAGTGGAAGAACAGACCTGAGAGCAAACATCCAGAGAAAGGAGAGAAAAGACGAACTAATAAATGTCAAATGCAATTGGTCGCCAGGCGATCTCAGTTCATTAAACTCAGTTTGCTGATTGTGTTTTGTTTTGTTTGTGATTACTGGAGAGGATATGCGGAAAGTGATGTTCATAACCTTTTTGTGCCAACTGCCTTTAACCCGCTTAAATTGTTTTAGTTCATCTCTTGGGAATACTTTTTTCGTTTCGTTAACTAACGTTTGATTTTAAGAGCTCTTTTTAAAGTTCCTTTTTTAAGATTAGATAACACAAATGAATCGATTAAAATAAATCAATTAGAGTTGGATTCTTTGTTCTTTTACCTTGGTAGTGTTCTGAAAATGGATTGTTTAGTAATTTTATTAATCCCACAAAGCTCCCACGCTAAAAAAATGTCATTTATTTCTTCGATCGTCTTAATCTGATGATTGGTTCAAAGCCTTTGAACGGGAAGAGTTTCAAAAGGTCACGATGAGAAACACAACCGTTGTTCCATGGGGCAAAAGAGGATCGGGGAGGGAAATGGCTGCACGGATGATTCGCGTGTCCTGGTCACCCGTGGGCGATCGTGATCCTGGAAATGGGGCGTCCTGTCCTCGCCGGACGCGAGCACTGAACGCGCGCAGTGGATAGAAATTACAGTCAACGCGTGCACGGCGGATTTCTCTGTGATTTAGAAACTCTAATTTTCACCATGATACATATTATTTCAAAAGTTTCACTAAATAATAATAATAATAATAATAATAATAATAATAATAATAATAATAATAATAATAATAATAAATTTTAAAAAATTAGAAAAAAAACGTCGCGTTTTCAGACTTCATTCAAGGGTTCTGTTTCTTTGC